ATTTTATACTAGATATTAGCTGAAATTAAACTTTTTTGGATGCTTTCCCATCAAAGAAGAAAGAAAATTTGGTTTCTAGAAATTTTGTACCTATTATTATTTATTTATATTTGAATATTATGTATATGCTAATATATTATTTAAATGTTTAGTTATTATGTGGCTTCAGTTCATGAACTTAAAAAATATGTAATAAATCTTAAAGATGAACATGAAGATGAAATTTTATGAGATTTACTTCCTGCAATCAAAGAAAAAGTTGAACCAAAAGACTCAACTAAAGACTCAAGTAAGGACTTAACCAAAGATTCAACTAAAGACTCAACCAAAGACTCAAATAAAGACTTAGCTGAAGACTGGCCATATAGCCTCATCATGAAAAAATTAAAATTAGAAATTATTTTCTAGATGTAAAATAATAAATTAGAAATTTTACATAAAATGTTATAATTAATGTTTTTATGAGCAAAAATTACACTACAAATAAAATTGGTAGTGAGAGCTCTCATGCATACTCAACAGACTGCCCTGTATAAGTGATGTACAGGAAAAATAGGTAAGTAAAATCTTATTTGCTAAGCACTGTGCTGATCTTAACCCTGAAACACATGAACAATCAGTGTTCTGGTCATTTTGGTAGTACAATATTTAACATACATATGTACGTATATACATAACAGTCTTATTTTTTTATTTAAATATATATTGATTTTGTAATTACATTATTAACTCTTTTTAACCTTTTATTTTTGCTATGCCTCTTTTTTATGAACTCTTTTTAGATTACTATCCCTCCTTACCATATCTTTATCTGGTTTTAAGCAATATTTGTCACAGAAAGCAATTAGACAATATGGGTGAATGTTATTCCAAAGGTCTATCTGTTTTTCTTCAGGAAGACCTTTTGGCAAAAGTTCTTGAGGGTATAAACTTTCAATATGGATATTTTGTTTTAGTAACTGGAATTCATTCCAAAGATCAGTGGTTCTGATTTTAGCTTTTATTATGCCAGGTTCTTCACATCTAAACTGGTAAAATAATATTTTTGAATAGCTAGAGGTTTATAGTATAATGAGCTAAGCATTGAAGTCCAATCATGGAATGGGCCTGCTTGATCCTCTAAGTTTACAGCAACATTATTGGTTGCACTTCTATTTATTACATTGACTAACTGGTCAATACACCAGACTTCTAATTTGGCATACTCTTTTTTGGTATTACCAAATCCACAGTCAACAGAATTTTGAGTATGACCCTTAATCTGAAAATAGTACTTGATCTTTTGAAATATTTAGATATGGCAAGCCTAAAGGAAGTACCATAAAAGGCATAAATTTTTATTTTGTCTACTACAATTATCTGCCTATAATCTAATTTCTTTTGCCTTATTTATATAGTTGAGAAATTTTGCAAGTTATATTTTAAATATATTTTAAAGATTATAAACTAATTAAACTGTTCAACTTTATTTATCTGCAGCAGAAATAAGAAATAGATGCAAGATCGATATAACTTCGCTTGTCCCTTTTAATGCCTTTTTTTCAGTATAAAGAGTATGCCAATGATGGTCAATACCTTCATTCACTAATCCAAATTGGTGTACCTTTAACAACAATAAATAGTACCACCTTTCTAGTTGTTGTGGATTATAAGGCAGCTTCTCATTTTGGGCAAAGTCAAAAGAAAAAACATGAAGTGAAAACTGATTGCTTTTTCTTGCAACTTGAATATCATTTTTATAAGCCTCTCTCATAGCATAATTATCTGTATATGCATAGTAAACTGCTCATTAAGACCTTCATTCACATTACTTCTTTCTATTAATGCATGTTTAAAAGTTGCACTCATCACACATGTCTTTAGATAGTTTTCTTATGATAATTTTGCAAAGCTTATTATTATCTTTTCATATTCTTTGAAAGGTTCAATGATTTATAAGGTTATTCAGATTAATTAAGTTATAAAAGACAGAAAGGCGAATATTTAAATAGTGAGATAGAAGAAAAACAAAATCATGCTTTTCATATTGCACAGTAATTTGTCCATCCACCT